AGGCATAAAAAGTGAAAAAAACGACATAGTATAGTAAGGCATAAAAAATGAAAAAAAACATCATAGTATAGTATGGCATAAAAAGTAAAAAAAAACATCATAGTACAGTAAGGTATAAGATGTCATAAAATGATAGAACTAAGTAAGGCCTAAAAAGTGAAAAAACAACATAGTATAGTAAGGCATAAAAAGTCAAAAAAACGGCATNGCATAAAAAGTGAAAAAAACGACATAGTATAGTAAGGCATAAAAAATGAAAAAAAACATCATAGTATAGTATGGCATAAAAAGTAAAAAAAAACATCATAGTACAGTAAGGTATAAGATTTCATAAAATGATAGAACTAAGTAAGGCCTAAAAAGTGAAAAAACAACATAGTATAGTAAGGCATAAAAAGTCAAAAAAACGGCATAGTGTAGTAAGACATAAAAAGTCATGAAAATTATAGAGCTTAGTAAGGCTTAAAAAGTCAAAAAACGACATTATATAGTAATGCATTAAAATTCATAAAAACAACATAATTCAGTAAGGCATAAAAAACAAAAAAACGACATAGTATAGTAAGGAATAAAAAGTCATAAAAACAACATAGTGTAGTAAGGCACAAAAAGTGAAAAAAAAACATCATAGTATAGTATGGCATAAAAAGTCAAAAACAACCATCATAGTATAGTAAGGCATGAAAATAGAAAAAAAACGGCATAGTATAGTAAGGCATAAATGGTCATAAAATGATTGACCTTAATAAGGCTTAAAAAGTGAAAAAACAATATTGTATAGTAAGGCATAAATAATGAAAAAATGGCATAGTGTAGTAAGGCATAAAAAGTCATAAAAAACTGCATAGTATAGTAAGGCATAAAAAGTCATAAAAACGTCATAGTATAGTAAGACATAAAAAGTCATGAAAATTATAGAGCTTAGTAAGGCCTAAAAAGTGAAAAAAGACAGTATAATAAGGCATAAAAAGTGAAAAAAACGGCATAGTATAGTAAGACATAAAAAGTCATAAAAACAACAAGGCATAAAAAGTGAAAAAAAACAGCATAGTATAGTATGGCATAAAAAGTAAAAAAAAACATCATAGTATAATAAGGCATAAAAAGTCATAAAAACGTTATAGTATAGTAAGACATAAAAAGTCATGAAAATTATAGAGCTTAGTAAGGCCTAAAAAGTCAAAAAATGACATAATATAGTAATGCATTAAAATTCATAAAAACGACATAATACAGTAAGGCATAAAAAACGAAAAAATAGCATAGTATAGTAAGGAATAAAAAGTCATAAAAACAACATAGTGTAGTAATGCACAAAAAGTGAAAAAAAATATCATAGTATAGTGCATAGTATAGTAAGGCATAAAAAGTCATAAAAACGTCATAGTATAGTAAGACATAAAAAGTCATGAGTATAGTAAGGCATAAATAATGAAAAAATGGCAAAGTGTAGTAAGGCATAAAAAGTCATAAAAACGTCATAGTATAGTAAGGCGTGAAAAGTAAAAAAAACGGCGTAGTATAGTAAGGCAAAAAAAGTGAAAACTACATAGTTTAATAAGGCACGAAAATAGAAAAAAAACGGCATAGTATAGTAAGGCATAAAAGGTCATAAAATGACTGACCTTAATAAGGCTTAAAAAGTGAAAAAACAACATAGTATAGTAAGGCATAAATAATGAAAAAATGGCAAAGTGTAGTAAGGCATAAAAAGTCATAAAAACGAAGTAGTATAGCAAGGCATAATAAGTGAAAAAAACAACATAGTATAGTAAGGCATAAAAGGCCATAAAAAATGACATAGTACAGTTAGGCATAAAAAGTGAAAAAAAACGACATAGTATAGTAAGGCCAAATAAGTGAAAAAAATACCATAGTATAGTAAGGTGTAAAAAGTGAAAAAAAAACATTATAGTATAGTAAGGTGTAAAAAGTGAACAAATGGCATAGTACAGTAAGGCATGAATAATGAAAAAAACAACATGGTATAGTAAGCCATAAAAGGTCATAAAATGATTGACCTTAATAAGGCCTAAGAAGTGAAAAAAAACAGTATAGTATAGTAAGGCGTAAAAAGTGAAAAAAAATTGCATAGTATAATAAGGCGTGAAAAGTGAAAAAAAACGGCATAGTATAGTAAGGCATAAAAAGTCATAAAAACAACATACAATAGTAAGACATAAAAAGTCATGAAAATTATAGAGCTTAGTAAGGCATAAAAAGTGAAAAAAACTTCATAGTATAGTCAGGCATAAAAAGTGAAATAAACGTCATAGTATAGTAAGGCATAAAAAGTGAAAAAAAACATCATAGTATCGTAAGGTATAAAAAGTCATAAAAACTACATAGTATAGTAAGGCGTAAAAAGCGAAAAAAAACGGCATAGTATAGTAAATCATAAAAGTGAAAAAAAACGACATAGTATAGTAAGACATAAAAAGTCATGAAAATTATAGAGCTTAGTAAGGCCTAATAAGTCAAAAAATGACATAGTATAGTAAGGCATAAAAATTCATAAAAACAACATAGTACAGTTAGGCATAAAAAGTGAAAAAAAATGACATAGTATAGTAAGGCATAAAAAGTCATAAAAACGTCATAGTATAGTAAGACATAAAAAGTGAAAAAAACAACATAGTATAGTAAGGCATAAGAAGTAAAAAAAAAAGCATAGTATCGTAAGGCGTAAAAAGTGAAAAAAAAAACAGTATAGTAAGGCGTAAAAAGCGAAAAAAAACGGCATAGTATAGTAAGGCGTAAAAAGTGAAAAAACGACATAGTACAGTAAGGTGTGAAAAGTGAAAAAAAAGGCCTAGTATAGTAAGGCATAAAAAGTCATGAAAATTATAGAGCTTAGTAAGGCCTAATAAGTCAAAAAACGACATAGTATAGTAAGGCATAAAAATTCATAAAAACAACATAGTACAGTTAGGCATAAAAAGTGAAAAAAAACGACATAGTATAGTAAGGCATAAAAAATGAAAAAAACGACATCGTGTAGTAAGGCATAAAAATTGAAAAAAAAATATAGTATAGCAGGGCATAAAAAATCGAAAAAAAACGTCATAGTATAGTAAGGCATAAAAACATAAAAACAACATAGTGTAGCAAGGCATAAAAAGTCAAAAAATGACATAGTATAGTAAGGCATAATAACTGAAAGAAACGACATAGTATAGTAAGGCATAAAAATTCATAAAAATGATAGAGCTTAATAAGGCCTAAAAAGTGAAAAAGCGACATAGTATAATAGTAAGGCATAAAAAAGCCATAAAAACAGCATAGTATAGTAAGGCATAAAAATGGAAAAAAACAGCATATTATATTAAGGCATAAGAAATCATAAAAATGATAGAGCTTAGTAAGGCTTAAAAAGTGAAAAAACGACATAGTATAGCAAGGCATAAAAAGTGAAAAAACAACCTAGGATATAGTAAGGCATAAAAATTGAAAAAATTACATAGTATAGTCAGGCATAAAGACTGGAAGAAACAACAGTACAGTAAGGCATAAAAAGTCATAAACATGACATAGTATAGTAAGGCATAAGAAGTCATAAAAATGATAGAACTTAGTAAGGCATAAAAAGTGAGTGTTAGGCCTAAAATGTGAAAAAAACAACATAGTACATTAAGGTATAAAAATTCATAAAAACAACATAGTATAGCAAGGCATAAAAAGTGAAAAAATTACATAGTAAAATAAGGCATAAAAACTGAAAGAAACAACATAGTATAGTCAGGCATAAAAAGTGAAAAAAAACGGCATATTAGGAAGGCATTTAAACCGAAAGAAACGTCATAGTATAGTAAGGCATAAAAAGTGAAAAAAAAAGGCATATTATAGTAAGGCATAAAAACTGAAAGAAACAACATATTACAATAAGGCATAAAAAGTCACAAAAACAACAAAGCATAGTAAGGCATAAACAGTCCTTAAAACGACATATTATATTAAGGCATAAAAAGTGAAAAAAATGGCATAGTATAGTAAGATGTAAAGCTTAAAGATAGAGCTTAGTAAGGCCTAAAAAGTGAAAAAACGTCATAGTATAGAAAGGCATAAAATGTCATAAAAACGTCATAGTCAAGTAAGGCATAAAAACGTCAAAAAAAAGCCTTAGAATTTTAAAGCATAAAATGTCATAGTATAGACGTATATTTTTTAAGATATAAAATGTCTTAAAAATGTCATAATATGGTACAACATGAAAACCTTAAAAAACATCAGAGTATAGTAAGGCATAAAATGTCATAGTAGTGTAAGGCATAAAAACGTCAAATAATGTCATAGTATAGCAAGGCCTACAAATGTCATAATATATTGAGTCATAAAATGTCATAAAAATGTCATAGTATAGTAAGGCATAAAAACGTCACCCTCTTGGAGGGTACATTGGAATGATTTAATTTGACTGCTCTCCAAACATAATTTCAATGAGGTCACTCAAATATTGGTAAGGTACATTCTTTTCTCCCAAACTATTGGTAGGGACATGTCCCTATTGTCCATATGCAAACCTTTGCCCTTGTGTTAGGGTTATCTGTATGTAGTGTATCTATTTGTTATATTTTGTACTCTCCAGGAGTATTGAATTTCTGTAATCTGCTTTTATGATGTGCCTACAGTACAACATCAGATAGGGATGTACAACTCCCTCCAGAACACTTCAACACCACTCTTTCAAGTAAGAGTAAGAAAGCTAGAGGTTGCACTCCTCCAATAACAACATGTCTTGTGACATCATTGTATTCTGCTTTATTGTGTTGGTGGATAAATTGATTTAAAACTAAAAGAATTTCTCCCAGTTTTACTGATGAAATTTATGACAAAGTAGTGGGTACAGAGAGAAAACATTTCTGTTGATTCAGAGGACTGATAGATGAAAACATTTTCTGCTGTACTGTTTTGTAGCAGTGATGGAGGGAGCTTTTCATGACAGATAAGTTACATGAGTACAGAGAAGTGCTTTAAGGTTAATCTATTACAAATAGTCTTACCTTTTTTGACCCATTATCAGGCATTTCAGCTGAGAGGTTTTGTGGCCATGCAGAGTCGGCCCAGCGAGACAAGGATGACCTCTGTTCTGGAGGGGGCATCTTTTCAAGGCCTTGTGGTAGAGACCCTGTATCCAGCACTGAACTAGAGGAGTGAGGGTCAGGCAAAAATGCCCCACCTGCTGAGTCAGAGTTGGATGAGGCGTGTATGTGTGAGTGGGACTGTGAGTGGGACTGTGTCTGTAGACTTCGCTCACTACTGAGGGAGCAGCGAGTGAGGACATACTGCTCCTGGATATAAGAGCTTTCTTGGATCCTCCTCCTCACGTCATTGGACCAGTCTAGCTCCACACCTATAGTGGACAAAAGCCAGCCATTAACCACTATGGCAGAAAGTATCCAGGAGGCAAATGTAAGCTCCACTGATGAGAGACTGACCTGGGCTGGTGCCAGGGTCTGTGTCTTTGGCACAGGAGAACTCAGAGGAGATTTCTCTAGAGATCTCCCTCAGTGCTTCCTCCAAATCGGTGCCATCTGCACATGTCACCACAGGCATTAGTTCAGAGGCAGGAGGAGGTGAAAGCTCATCATTTGATTGGCCAAAAACAGAACCCGTGGAGCCCCGATGTTTATAGCCCTGTCCTTGACACTGTAAAGTAAGACGGATAAATTAGAAATGTGTTTTCCTGTGTAGACACACAAAAACATACTTTTAACAAAAAAAGTAGCGATGAATACCTCTGCCTTTTTTGCTTTGAAATTTGTCATATCGTACAGGGTGCAATATCCAATGAGGCGATTCCCAGGGTAGAGTGGAGGGATTTCATTGGGTGAAAGAAGAGCCTCCATGTTTTCTGGCAGATACCAGTCAATCCGCACGTCAGTCAGCACAGGTTCAAAAGCCTTTTTCAGGGACTTGATTAACTGAGGAGGGAGATTGGTCACAATATTTTTTAAATGAATGCTTTACAATTTTTTTTCTAATAAGTGGGTTGGCCCACTCCAAAAGGTCCCAAGATAAATCAGAGGGGTCATGAGACAATTAATGGGTGAGGAAACAAATGTTTTGCTATACAAATTTATATATATATATACATATACTACTTTTCTCTAATCTTTGATTTATTTTTTATATATACTGTTTATATATTGGATGATTTTACTTCTACTTATTCACTTTTTATCACCGCTAATCACATGATGATGTTTTAAGCTCTCAAAATAAGATTATGCCTTTAATTGTTCTGGAGTTTGTATTTTCTCCAGTAGGTGGCAGTATTGCAATTCTTCTGACCTTGGGCTGGAGTCTCTCCTCATCATCCAAGAACTCTGTAGTCCCTCCTGTTAGTTTGGCAACGCCCTGCAGGAGTCTCCTGCAGGCTCGAGGGCCCAAGCCCAGACCAAAGCATCTGCAGAGATGATATCATATATTCTTGAAATTTTAATCACATCCCCAGTGCCTGTGCTTTGCATGCAGCATTTTTTTCTTTCACTTACTGTCTGAGCAAATCAAATACCAGCACCAAGTCAGACTTAACTACCTGTTTGTGAAACCCTCATGGGGTACAGAGGCTTCCATGCGTCTCAGGAACAAGAAAATTTGGTGTCGCCAAACAGACAGAACTATTATTTGTGCACTCAGAGGGATTACAAGCCATTTAGCTAATTGAGAGCTTGAAAAGAGCAGGGGACAAAATAATTGAGAAGACTGAGACCTTGAGTGCTGTGTCTAAAAACAGCAGGTCTATCTGGACAGCTAGATACTGTTAGCATTACATGAGTAAGAGGACAGGGAACCAAAATGATACTGAACCAAGATAAACACCTTTTCTGGATGTAGACTATAGTTGAACATCCTTGAAATTAGATGTCTTACATAAGAATAAAGAAACAAGTATTTATATAGTTTGTGGAAGGACAGCCAAAACAGTACAGTGGAGAATGTCAGTCCAACAGGAGAATACTAATGAGGGATAAATGGAGTTATTGTGCGTTGCTGAAGGGACAGGGGAAAATCAGAGGGGCGTGACTCTCACTGCAGAGCAAGCACTTAACGGGATTACTGGGCGGGGCTGAAAAATACCTCAGCCCTTTCTTTTCTTTCTATCGCAGTGCTTTGCTCTGAGTTCTTGAAGATCTCTGTTTGATTGTATCCCCTCTCCTTCTCACTGTTTCTCTCCTCTTCCCTTTCCTCCCACAAACTGTGTCATATTTATCACCTCATTCTGCCCGCACTCACTACACTCCATTCCTCTCCGCTTCCCTGTCACCTTCAGTGATTTAATGTCGTATCACATGGCAGCCATAGAATAATGTTGTTAATTAGTTGGTTGAATTAATTAATTAATGTCCATCTTTTGTATTGATCCCACTTCTCTGTGCTGTTCTTCACACATGACTAACATGGGTTACAATATTTAATAGAGAATTTAGTGTTGGGGATTCATACCTGCCAGCACATGTGTTTCTGCGGACCAACTCCAGCACTTTGGCTACGTTGCTAATGGATCCATCTGTAATGATAAAGACCTGGCGAGGATATGAGCGCTGCATGGGCTGTTGGTACACCCAGGACAGCGCCCCCAGGAGGTTGGTGCCTCGCATGTCAGCTCTCATCCTCTGGACATACTCATATGCCTGCATGAGAGTGACCTGTGTGCATAAAGAAACAGAGAAGTAGAGATGCAATCAGATCTACAGTAAACGTGGGAGAAGCAGGCAGCGGAAAAGAACACCTGTCCGACTATATGACGCTGCCTGTGCAAACATCACCTGTGTTGTCGAGATAAATTCACCATTTGATATCAGATGCCCCAATTACCCTGTGAGGGTAGCAAAGAATTGAATCAGTGCTTGTCTAATAAAGAGAGAGCAAACATACACACATTAGCACCTGCCTTAAAACTGCCTCAAATCACACTGTGGACAAACATGCCTGACAGAAGAGGAGATGGAGGACATCTCCTGCCTTCGTGAAAATGCATGAAAGGTCACCATATGGTGAGGAGTATGTGCAAAGACTGTTTGTCCTTGAAGCCCCTGGTCTGGATAAAACCTGACACTCTGCTACTAAGGCAACCCATGGAACTGACCTATTGCCTGATTAGAAAGTAGACAAAATAGAACACAAAGTCCTGCATGGTTGAAAAACACCTGCTTTCGGGAGACCTGATCCAAATGCTCCGTGTATTTACTTTTACTGGAAAGAATTCATATGTAATTAAGAATATCACTGAATATCCTATTAACAAGACAGATTCAGACTATTCTCCATTCTGAGCTAGGTCATTGTGTAAAACCAACATCAGTGCAGAGCTTGCTGGAGGTGAACAGTGGCTTGATGGTGGTGCCGAAGCCCACAACGTTGAGCATAGTGCAAGAAGGGAGACTCTTCAATGCCACCACCATGGCTTCCTGTGGAAACAAGAATGGATAGTCAGGGTGGAGCGAGATGAATCTACACGTCTAAATCTAAAAAACTGAACTCTGGTTCATTTGTATGTTTTTATCCTGACTGCAGCTCACCTTTACACGACGGATGTTAGTGCCACTCATGCTGCCGCTGCGATCTACGAGGAACAGTAGCTCTCTGGTGGCTTTGTGCAGCTCCAGAGGTTCACACAGCAAATCAGGACAGAAGTTGAGCATCAAGACGGGGCTGCTCAGAATGTCCTTGTGGTACCGCTTCCTCACAAACTCCAGCTGCAAGTGGAACATGTCAGCATGTCAGCTGTTAGCACATTTTTATGCAGTTAACAGAATCGGAACAGATGTATATAAAGGAATGAGATATGAAAGGCAAATAAAGGTGGGATCCACCAACCTTCCTTTCTGGTTCTGAATCTTTGCGGGTGCAGCGGATAAAATCACGACGGGAACAGATCAGCTGTTCATACTGGCTGAAGGAGAGCCTGCCTCTCTCTAAGATGACCAAGGGGTTGTGAGGCTCTAGATAAAGGTTGAGGATAAAGGTTTCAGTGAAAAATAAACAGAGACTGAAACAAAGAGAAAGTACAAATATTGTCGGGAAGATTTGCCATTGCTCACCACTGAGGTGCAGAATGATCTCTATGTGTCTGTCATATGGATGCTCCTGCGCCAAGGTGATGTAGGTGGCAGATGCACTTTGGGCACTGGGGTCTGCATCTGCTCTCAGAGCATGAGTGGGGCTCTCCAGTCCTGCAAATTAGTTTAGGAATAAATAAAGAAAAGCAAATAAAGGTTATCATATTAATTAAATTTTTATGTGTTTTTGATATGTAATGATAACCTTTTAAATTGAAGATATATAAACACTAGTCCTCCATATTATGTAGTAATTTCAGTGTGCATTTTCCATTTCTACAGCATACACCAGTCCAGTGGAGGCGAGTGCTTCCTTCATCTATCTCCTTTGGGTTTTGGCCTGGATTCAGGCCCTCTCTGTACATCCATTAATTTTTATTTTGTAATGAGATTTCCCACTTTTCCAATACTTCACAATGACTGAGTCAAGAACCACGGAATCAAACGTATGTGAAAAGACAGGCAGTACCAGCCAGCAGGCAGGCCCCTCTGACAAGTAGCTGGAAGTTGAGTTCATAAGGTGCCAGGCTGGCAGCTGGACTGGTGAAGATGGTGTGGGTACATTGCTGCTCAGAGTCCAGGACCCGGCCTTGTTTTCCTGAGGTGGCACCGAAACAGCTGGTTGCTCTGAGGAAGACAGCGATGTAGATTATTTAGATTATTCAGCAGATGGTCTGAATTACATCTAATTTATTGAAATGGAGAGTATCAGGCAAAATAGTGTTGCCACATTTAGGTGTGACATAAATACCCAGGTTCTTCTAACTTCCCTCCATTTTCACTCTTGCTTGAAGTCATCTGCCCAGTGACAACTGGAGTAAGTAATGAGGGGTAGACGATGTGGATTGCTCCATTTTCTAATGTAGGGAGTTCCAGTGTGGTGCTTATGATAATAGACACTATATCCATGGGGCCAATGACCCCTGTGCCCACAATGAAGGTGGTTCTTTCAAGGTCTTCATCCAGGATGAGATGCCCTAAAAATATACAGCAGTTACTTACATAATAAAACAATTTAAACAGCCAGACAAGTTAATAAGCTTTTTTTTTTTTTTTTAATCAAAATAATTAAAGGTTGCAAAATCTGTGTGGTGTCAGCTAAATTAGAGATATTTATTCCATGTACATGATACCACTGTTTCCAATAAAATACTATGCACTTCAAGTTGATGTATGTTTGTGCTCAGTGAATGCCGTTTCACCATTAGGCAGGCAGCCAAATCTATTTGCCTCCTTTGTATGTCCTTTCTATCCTCAGTGAGGCTAATACAGGACCTAGGAGGGACTTACTGCAGCTATATTTGTGTTACAGCAGTAGACAACAGTTCAACCAGTGGATGAAATGATTTGTGGTTCTACTACACTGTATTACAATTTCTATCCTCAAGCAAAATACAGCAAGTCTCTGTAGCTTTGATTGTCTGCGCTGAAAGCTCAGTTTAATCTTTGTTATGGGCATTTCAAGCATTTAGAGGACAGTGCATTTACTCTTCAGATATTCCGCATTGGGTCTGGTTAAGCTCAAGTGTCTGCAGAACAGAGAACCAATGACTACTGTCCGCTAGCAGTATCCATAAATGAATTAGACTGATTACTGCTCAATAACTGTGAGACGTATTTATTAGTAGGTTGATCGAGGAAATTGGATAGCCCAGAAAACGTTGGTAATGTGAATGCTCAATATGAATGCACATTTAATTTCTTACTTGTCGAAGCTTATGGAATTACGTCAGATAAATACATGGGCACCTCATTATAAGATTTTTTTTCCTTCACAGCATTCCTCACCGTTGGTGCATTGAATGTCGTGGCTGGAGCTCCCACAGCAGCCCCACTCCCGGCCGTTCCCACAGTGGCCTTCAAGACCAGTTCCAGGGCAGCAATCCAGACAGCAGTCCTTCAGCTTCCCTCGGTTCTGTATCTGGACCCCGACCAGTCGGCCTGCAATTGCGGCCTCAAAGCCCACCACAACCTCCTTTTCTCCGAGGGGGTACACAAACACACCTACATGACCGACAATGTAAGACACACACAAAACAATGATTTCAGACTTTTGATTCAGCTCATAAACCAATGAAACTACATAAGACGCAGCATATTTCAAAGTAAAATAGATTTCTGGCTCTGTTGAATGTTGTAGTTATTGTAGTCACTATGGACAAAAGCATCTGTCAAATTAATTAAATAGAACTGATAAGAAGCCAGCGTGGCAGTTTTGAAAAACTGTTCAAGTGTTGGTCTTTTTTATTTGGTAGTTACTAATCCTTTTAAGTTTTATTCAAATCACTGATGAATTTTCCTTGCTATTTAACCTCTTTGAGTTCAATGAATTAATTGTTTTCAGCTCTTTTGTCTTGTCGTTAAAAACCATCCAATAAATGTCTTAATTTTTCCTGATTTGATGTCATATGGAGTCAAAATATAATTGCTGGGATTATTACCTAATCTAAGAGTGTGTCATCCCACTACTCACCTTCTACAGACTCTATGTCAGCGTTGGCATAAGTGAGGTGTGTGGTGATGCCCAGGGAGCAGCCGTTGGCACAGGACTTGATACAGGAGGCCTTGAGTAGCAATGGTTCCCATGTAGAACGGTTTCTCAGTCCCACCATCTTTTCAGGGTACTGACAGTCCTCTACTCTGCAGGCTGCATGAGAACACAGGTACACAGACCTGTGAAATGGTCTGAGCAGACAGGAAGAGAAATGTGTGAGTGTGCATTTAAATTCTCTCATTTTCCATTCAGCACGCAATCACAATGATCTTTGTAAATCGAGTGTCATGCCAAACAAGCAAAACTGCCTACATTAGACCAGATCTTCTGCCATATTGATTAAAATCATCTAACATGTCCATTGGTTTTACATTTGTATGTATTCAAGCCTGCCAGATATAAATTTATAAGTACACGTCAGCTCTTCGACATGTAACCAAGCTATCTCCTCAGGCTCTTAGCAACCAACAGTGATAGTTTGAGTGTTAGTGGCTTGGTCAATCATTAACATTGCAGGTCTGCACTTACTACACTATGCATCATGCTAAGCATATGCAATCAGAGTCTGTATGCAAATCCATGTGCACTTACGATTACTGTCTTACCCTTACTTACCTGCACTCTTTGGTAACTGCACAAGCTGGATGGTAAGAAATGGTGCACTGTACTCTTCTGTATTTTGTAAACTAGGATAACATAAACCTCTAACTAATCACAGTTTCCTTCACAGTTTCCATTTATGTAACTCAAGCTGCATGCAATTACTCTTCATGACTGAACACTTAATAACTTTAAGTGCAGCAGGTGCAGAGACCAGTGTGCAGATCACATCTTAGTGAACGGTAGACTGCATAAAGGTGTGTGTGTGTGTGTGTGTGTGTGTGTGTGTGTGTGTGTGTGTGTGACGGTGTATGTATGCATATGTGTCTGTGTACGCACGCATGCGGGCATTTGTGTGCGCGTGTATGCGTGTGTTTGCTGTGATCCAGGTAATGGTCTTTTCACATCTACCTTCCTAACTAGATCAACAGCCTCCATCTGGCTACTGTGCTCTCAGCTCATAACAGGCAAATAAATGCCTGGTTTGTTAAAGTAGGGCAAACTGATGCTGTCAGAATACATACAAAAGGAAAAGTACAACATTATGCCCTTCTGTCATACTGTCTCATTAACTTTATCAATGAGAAAAAAAGATGTATGGCATGGATAATGACTTCTTTACACATTATGAGTTATGTGTGTGTTCATGTGTGTGGTTTTAATTACAGTATATAAATACATGGTGCAGAATGAATGACAAACAGTACACATGCACAGTTTGAATCTCAAAGGCAGGCATTGACAGATTTACAAAAAAAAAAAGCATATATATTACAGCATGCAAAAACACACTTTGGTGAATGGCATTGGTTATTTACAAAAGAATAAAGCATTAAAAGTAAATCCAAGTCTTACAAAGTGAAAATTCTGCATGTGTTCTGGGAGGTTTAATTATTCTGTCTGAGTCTTTGCAGTAGCATAGCTGGCCAAGAGTTAGCTCTGGGCAGCACTGCAGTCCCCTTATGTCAGTTACAAGCTTAAGATAACAAGCAAAAGAATCATGCAGCAACACTTACTGTACTGTTCAATGCAGTGTCTGATAACGTGGCTCTGTGTCCAGTCTCTGCATCACTCTCCCATCACATTTGCTTGCAGGTTTCCCAGTGATACAACGGCAGGAGTTTTCCTGGTAAGAGATACTGCTCTCTCTCCTCTCTCTCTGTCTGTCGCTCTCTGTCTTTCTCTCTCTCCACAAATCCACCAGTTGCCCTATAAGGAAGACAGTCATTTCACAGAGTTGAGTCATATATCTGAATATATGGCCTTACAAAGTACAAAACAATATCTGGGATGAATAACATCTGCATGCACTAACAGATTATTTCTTGTATAATCTACTATGAGACACCCAACAATAATCTGGAGTAATTGCAAGAAATTTATTTTCAGTAACAGGCAATCAGTTTGTGGGAATTAAATTGTCCTGGAAATCTCACTGCTGTGATCAAACACTAACATGCAGCTCTGCACTAACCTACATTTCCTGATAAGTCATCTGCTTACCTGCTCTGACCTGAATCACAGAGCTGATCAGAAACTACGAATGCTGAACCTGCTGCTCAGGCACAAGCTAGCACACAACCGTAAGTGAGGCAGAGCCTGCTTTTCATCCAGACAATTGGCTGTGATGGTAGCAGCACCATAATTCATGGCTAATGGCTTGGCCAGGGAGAGGAGGTGCAGGAGGAGGGGGCTGTGTTCTGCCTCTCCCACCAGGTCAGTCAGACAGCAGCAGCAGGCGTGGGTAGGTGAGACCAAAGAAGCAGAAGCTTTTTGCCTTCTAATCTCCATTTTAATGGGTCCAATGCCACACACTTGTAAAGGTACATTTTAAAAAGAAAAATATGAGAACATAGGGAGTGGCAAGCAAGTAATGTAAGTAATAATGAGGCATATGACAATGACTAACTATGTTGCTGTGTGTCGATTTTTACATAATCATTTACATTCAAAGATGCACTTAATTACTATTTTAATCAAAGCAAAAAAATATTTCTTATGTTACTGTTTGCTTCCTATGTTATTACATATTTAATCTGTATATCACAGTCTTGTGTTGGGAAGAGAGAATAACAAAGACAAAAGAATAATAAAAGTAATTATTAATTAATATTAATTGTTTACAATGATGACTGATGATATACTATTTTTATGCAAGCAGAAAATACTTTTCTTATGCTATTGTTTTCCTATAAATATGAAATTGAAGTTGAATAATCCATAAAGCGGTTTATTACTTATCATTATCATTATTATCTCATTTGATTTTCCTTCATTAGTTTACACAAGAGCTTTGATCTCAGGAAGCCACAGGATAAAGGTAACAGCATCAATGTGGTTTCTTTGTTTGTTAGCACAGTCAAGGAGGTAACAGAAATATTTCAACTGGTATACCAGATAATTAGTATAATGAGTAACAAAATAATTTCCTAGTCCACGGGATTAATAAGTAATTATACACTAATGCTGCTTTTAAGATGAGCAACAGCTAATGAGTAAAATATTTTTTAATTAAAGAGAATAACACATAAATGTTACAGAGTCAGTAGGAACCAAGGACCCAACATTATTGTTTGTTTCATTAAATTCTTGCATTATTTTTGGTAGGGGGATTGCAGGTGTGTGTGTGTGTGTGTGTGTGTGTGTGTGTGAGAGAGAGAGAGAGACAGAGAGAGACAGACAGACAGACAGACAGACAGACAGACCTAAGAAAGAGACACAGAGAGAGAAAAGGGCACAGCACAGGTCACAGTAGTGGAATACCCCCTTTTGATATTTCAGCTGTGAGGCACTCTACTGTTTGTTTTGATACAGAGTGCTGTTGTGACTTGAGATTTTACTACATCTTTATTGTACCATATGTTGTGCCATATTTTCCATTAGACATCTAACCTGTTTTGTGACATTTGAATCATATAAGTTAGTGGTGCAAGTCATAATCAGGTGAACACATACACACATTTAACTACCATATTTTGATTTGGGTATGACAACTATCACTAACAGAGAGAGAGAGAGAGAGAGAGAGAGAGAGAGAGAGAGAGAGAGAGAGAGAGAGAGGTTAATCAGCATTTCTTATCTGTGTCCCATGCTGCCTCCATGTGGCCTTTTGTAGTTTCATGTCATGGTCGCCTGTGCAGTTTACCACCTTTTCCTGTTCAGGTCACACACAAGTCAATTACATTCTTCACAGTCATCATCTTTCTAAATAATGTATATGCTGAAATGTTTGATTTCAAAAATATGACATAGTATTAAACTAGTATTAACCTGACCTAATATGACTAGTCAGTCCAGTTAATGTTAAAGCCACCTGACAAACATGTTTACTATAACTGATTGTTGCAGGGAATTTTATATTTTAAATTGTCTTTTTCTTCGGCATATTGAAAAGTCATTACCTATATTTAAATTTATAAATATATAGTGCACACATTACTCATCATTTTTATGACTCTGTAATTAGTTTAAACTGGGTATTCAGCTAATGCAGTAACTCACAGTTAGCTAGGCTGAGCGAATTTTAAATTAGCTAACTAGATTAATTTATCTCAACCTTAGCTAGTTACACCAGATACCAGGATTAAGTAAAAGTTTTCACTTTCACTTTTTTCTCAATGTGCACTATTGCTTTGGACAGTTATATAAAGTAGAATAAGCTACACACCGTTGTTTATTGGGATTGCTTTTGTAGGTCAAGTTACCACATCGTGCCTAAGCCAAGACAATACAACTGTAACGTTAGGAACATGTTGCTGCACCTGCACCTCCCACACTTCATATCAGGAATAGCTTCCTAGGCAACATTATAATACTTTTACCCAGTAGGCCTAATATATGATAGCCTAACACTGGTCTGGTTAATTAGCTACTATAATAGCTACTAAGTATTAATTTCTCCAACTACAAGAAGAAGACTACAGTTAAGTTAGCCACAGTTTAATGTTATTCAGCTGACTTTAAGCTTTACTGATGAAGCAGAAGTAATGTTTCCTGCCAAAGGCACGACCATAACAAGCCCGTTACTCTTTTTACTCTGGTTATTAATCATCCATGCATCCAGTGTAAACTCAGATCATTCAGAACAACATTAGTCCCAGCAGAGGATCATTCTCTACCAGACTAACCGGCAATTCTACTAGAAGAAGTTTCATCATTGTGACACTAGGTGTCAGCCTTCTCAAATCAGCTACAGCTGACTGCAATCACTATATGTAGTCTTTTTCTCCCTTCTCAGCCGATATACTCAGATATATTCAACCAGTAGTTGAACCCATGTCACACACCAAGAACAATAGAGTGATTATTGTCTGCTCTCTGCTTAAAATCTGCAGTTACCTCTGTTAGACCAGAGTTACAACAACTGTATTTGCCAAGTTTGGCTATAAAGGCAGAATTACACTTATTTTACTCTTTTTACTGAATTATACTGTTTTTAGTACAGTAAGTTTAGTTCACAGTTTCCACACTTAGAATTCAACCAACTTCTGCCTTTATATTGACTTACTCATCCTCCAT